TAATGAAGTTAAATGTATGGCGCATCTCTAAAGGGATTGATCAAGCCGAGAGCCTTGTCCTTTTCTATAACGGACAAATGACTTGCATGGTGTGACGGTGAACGTGCTAGGTCCCGGAAAAGGTAACAGCGTGTTCGTTCTCCACCGCAGACACCAGCGGTCCGGAGTTTTGCAAATATCTCAGCATCACTGTGTTTGTATCACACATAATAAGCTGCCGTGAAAAAATGTAATAAACAGTAAATAAAAAGCTAAAATTAATAATGAACGCTGTTCTCGATTACGGCAAGTTTGTCCTTAACTTGTTTCATATAACATTCTAGCAACATAACATATAACATTCTTTTCCGGGCTTCTAGTGGGTGTGCGTACCAAAGCGGTAAGAGGTGCCTTGGAATATCCACTAGGTCGGTCTTTGGGTGCATCCCACCCTCACGAAGCCCACCAGTCTTCACGATCAGCAACTTGATGCCAGACTTTTCTAAGAGGATAACAGCACTGACGAAGAGCGGAGAATGCTAGGAATAAAAGTAAATAAAGCAGAGAACTCATTATTTATTTCTACTCTTAACATCGGTCTTCTGTTGTTTAGTGTTTGCTGACGAATCCCTACCTCAACAACAAACTTCAAATACAACTAGAGTCTTTCTGATCAAACAAAGCATAGCAAGACATAGCCCACATCGACTGTGGATCCAGATATCTTTTGCAGTTGTTATGATTGCTATTGTCATGATATACAAAGACCCGACGACATCGTATTCGAACAACATTGTTACAGCTCAATCCGCGCCGGAAAAAATCTGGTTCATTGCAGTTATTTCGCATATTACAGGTACAAGGCCATTCAGAAAATCAAAGACACCCATAATGACGCACGAAACCTGCTAATCTTGGAGAAAAACGGATACTGCTAGTTCACACTAAGTGAATTGAACCTTATATAAGATCGCCTGCTACTCGGGATACCGCATACTCAGGGCGCTACGACCTTCCAGAGAAAATGAAATTGCTCGTAATTTCTATTTCAGTTATTCTATTTTGCTCTTCAATGGCAAGTGAGTTTTCGAATTTCATTCCACTAGGTAATTAAGCTTTCTGAAGTACAATGTTTCACACTTTCTTGGAGACGGTATAGTATCCAAGTATCCAATAGCACTAAATTTTTTACTAATAAGATTTTTACTCTTCGAAAAGGCAAAAGACAAAAGTGACGTTGAAATTGTTCATTAATCAAGGTATTTTTCTGCAATTTATTCTACAATAGGGAGCGGATAGCATAGTAACAGTGATGCTCGTCATCACGAGCATGGTTCTAGTACGATTCCGCACCGGGCCAAGCAAGCCTCTCATCTCTCCGGAGTCGGGAATTTTTCACCGGACTTGTCGGACAAGATTTTGATAATTAAGACATAAATCATTAAACTTTACACACATTTATCGATGCGACAAGTGTTAAGTGATTGTATCGAGGTGAAGTGTTAAGCCTCTTCAGTTAAAGAACGACTTCTTAGCTTTCTGATGTTTCTATATCGATCAGCGAAACCAGGCGAAAATCTCTCCAGAGTAGCAACACGGTGGCGCTAATGGATCTTTGGTAAAGGAAATTACTAGTTTGATAACAACAATGATGCCTTGGCATTCGCAAAGCTCGAAACCCATCGGCCAGGTTCGAACCCGGGCGGATTACCTTTTTCGAGGATTACAGCTTCATCTTAACTGGGTTCAATGCCGATTTGTGCTCTCTAGATCATTCCCGTCGACGAGTGATTGCCGATAGCACCGTTAGAGTAGAAGAAAAATGACTAATAGAAAGCTAAAGCAAGAGCCTGAGGTTGTGCAATGGAGAACATGTGAGCCCACGGAAAAGGTAAAGGAGCCAGTTCGAATCTGAACTGGGATCTGAGTTTCGCAAAAACCTCAGCACAAATGGGGTTGTACTTCGCATAATACCTTGCCATGAAAGAATCGTAGGTGGTAAATAAAAAGTCGAGCAATATTATTCTGATGCTAGATTCTTTTCACGAAGACTACTATCTTATTGACATCTTATAGAAACTGAATTTAAAAAAACCTAGCACTTAATGAGGTTTACAGGTACCGTCGGAGAAAGAGGGTAAAGCGCCATCTATAGGTTTGTTATGACTCAAACTTTAAAGTATTGCACTAGTCGAAAAACTAACGGAGTTATCGAAAAACGTTAAAGCTGCTGGGGAATACGACCATGACTACGGACACGATAAGGATTACGCACATGGATACGACAAGTATGGATCTGGCGAATACGGTGTACAAAAGTATGGCGGATGGAAGAGTTATGAAAAGGGAGAGGAGCACGGCTCACATTACGGTAAGTTGATGTCCGTGCTTAATCGCTATCGAATGATTGTTGTACGTTTAGGTTCGGGATATGAAAAAAGTTACGGCGACATTCCTGAACACAATTATGAACACTACCATCACGAAAAGCCTTACCATCATCGAAGTTACTACTATAATTCATATCACGATGGTGATAAAGGCAAACACCATCATCATTACGAGCATGATTATCCTTTCTATGGAATTCATGACCATCATGACGGTAAGGCTAGTAGATATTACAATTGACGTGAAAAGATCCATCATAGTCAAGCCTTTTTCAAATGGTCGTAACGAAGAAACATGTGCTACAATCAGCTCAATGACGATACTAATTTTAGGCTATGGACATATTTAGCACTAGTGGTATCCGGAAGAAGTTCTGTCGTGTCCATTTACATATTTTACTATCCAAAATTCGAACTGAAATGAGTGTTTTGGAGCTAAATGAATGATTTGGAGCTGATCGTTGAGAATCCTAACACCACATATGATGCATAATAGAATACATATAGTGTGAAGAAAACGGTAAAATAAGATAACGGATACCGGATATTTGTGGCAAGTACGTATCATATGGTACAAGTTAACCCACATTACTCACTGCCTTCCACTTTACCCTTTTCTCAAGCCGCCATCCACATTCAGTGCATGCAAAGGACACGTTCACCTCAATTGGTATCCCATCAATGTCGTCCGTTTCCATTCACATAAAGTTTTATTCATAAATGGATTTTCTTTCCATTCACTGAGAATTTCATGCCTTTCGCTACTTCATTCAACTTGGCATGAATTGCTTTATCTTCTGTATGATGAAAGCCAGTCTTTCATCGAGCCTTATTCCTTCTCGGTTGGTTTTTCCAATGATGTGACTACTCACCACTGTAACGTGACGATGAACAACAATACGTTGCTTTACCGTACTACTTTACGAATTTACCTTTCCTCCTCGGAGCACTGCGTAGTAGCAATGAAAGAGCGGTATGGCCGTTGTAGCAGAGGTACTACTGCAGTCAGTAGGCGTATTTATGTAAGGCGTGCCTACATGCCTACATCCCGGTTAACCAAGACTAACAGCAAAGCCTTCGTCTCCACACAGTGACTGTTTCACCGTAGTCAACGAGTGTTAGAGAAATAGGCTGAGTATTGTTTCCGACAAATTTACACCTCTATCTTACTCTAGTTGGTTGAAAAAGTGAATGATAGTGGAAGTAAGTTTTCTATGAAGTGAATTACAAAATTACTTCCAATGAAACGTTACTCATGGAGAACATGGCTTAGAGATTTCAATACCCGAAACATTAAATGAGCATCTGTTAATATGCGCTTTTAATAAAATGTATTCTCATCCAATCTTCAAAAATTAGACCCTCATTTCTTCTGAAGGAAATTTAATAGTAACACGGAAAAAAACAGATTTTGACCGGTCAAAATTAAAGGAAAACGGAAACACATGCAGAACAACCTGGAAGAGCAGACTTAAGACGGAAGAACTCCCACTGATCCACAAAAGCAGCCAGTGTCTGTGACGACTTGTTAAAACTCTAATACAAAGATTCTAGCACTTCACGTAAAAAAGATTGTTTAAGTTCGCCAAAAACCGCTCAGATATAAACTGGCCTGAGTCCACTAGCACGAAGATAGATCACTCAAGTGATAGTGTGCAGCTATCAAAATTGAAGGCAATAATTGTGATGTGAATAAACAAATTTCTTCTTTATGAATACAAAAGTTGAAAGTTCATTTCTGCGATAGTCAGACCCCAAAATTACCTTACAGGTCTCACTGATTTTCAGCCCTCATCAACTTTGCTGGAAAATAACGCGCGAAGTATGAATGCGAGAGAGCACTAGTAGGGAACTAGTAAGCATGAGATACGTCATCTTAAGGCATAAAATCACAAGCAATTTATAGACTCTAAGCTGAAGCGAGTAGATATGTATCAAAGGAATCTTATGCAGCAAGTAATATGTTCAAACTATATGATGAAAACTCTTCATCTTTACCTTTGAATGGATCTATCATACTAGAACCCTGACGGACAAGAAATTCAACAACCCAGAACAGAAAGTAAGGAAAATATTGAAAAGTAGAAAGAAGTATAGTAGGTACAAAAATGTACGGCAACAGCGTACAGCTGCACTATGTTTGTTAGCTAATGACAGCGAGACATAGCCTGTTGTTACATTCCGATGTTTGACCCCGCCAAGTTCAGGACTATTGAAACTCTTCATGTAGAGCGATTTACTCATTACAAACTCAAAAACTACAAAGCAGATATCAAACAGAAATACTCTTACAGTGAAAATCCTCGAAAGCCAAATTTGGCAATGATATATCGATACGACGGAATGCATTGATTAGACATACAGTATATTTAATGATCAACTAAACGTTGATAAAAACAGAAAAAAAAGACAGGTGAACACTCGAAACGGAAATATGAGGAAGACAGTGGGTACTAAAATAATGTTTGTAGTACCTGGGAAGACTTACATTCCTAAAACGAAGAAAACTTACTCATGACAAAATCAGATAAGATGAGATTTCTCGCTTTAGGTCTTGAAAACAACAACAGTAAAGCTATGTGTAATGACGCTGGTTTCTGTGACCTGGCTAATAGTTATGGAAAACTTCGGTCAATCGCTAACTTGTTGCATTTTTGTACGAATTTTCGAGCAAGTGTGAGACTGAGCGGCCCGATGCCGGGAGCACAATGTTTTTCCACACCTGAAGGAGTCTATTTGAAACCCTAATGTAACTAATTAGCAAAATAAGTTAGGGAAAAAGAATGAGAACTAAGAAGAAACAACAAACCTGCAATTGAAAGCACTATTTATTCGAAAAGCGCAGACACTACATCGGGCTGCTCCGCCACGAAAAGCAACCGTCCGTACTGATCTCGCCGATACACCACGACGAAGTGGTAACTGAAACGTATTAGAAAAAGAAAAAACTAACAAAAAATTTCCTTGTCAAAGATTAGCCAGAGTGGTAAATTAGTGTAAAATTTCAAAATACGACTCAATCGGAAATAACATACTGCAAATAAGACTGGCTCGGTTTGGCTATTCTCATTGTCATCAGATGACGAACGTTCACGATGAGTGACACGGGGCTTGCTTCGCGCCCTCTGGCGACAGGTTGACGGAGCCGGGGCGTGTCGGTGGCGTCGCACCTAAATGAAATATATCTTATTTTAGGATAACAAAAACAAGACATGGTGAAAAACTACACGATTCATAATCTCACGTTAACTTCGTAAAATAAATAAATACGGCATAGAAAATTTGACACCTTAATAGATTTGAAAACTCCCAATGGTTTGCCGCCTCATTGTAGCTGAGAAGTCTTTCTGGGTGTCGGAGTGCGATGTACAGCAGAGGGATTCATCCCACCAGCAAGGTCTCCGAAGGTGAAGAGTCCGGCGTTTCCATCAGGAAACACCGCTAGGAGTAAAAATACCTGGATCCACCAACGTCTTCGTAGCAAACTAATCGCATGACGGCAAATCTCCCCACAAGAGCGGTGACTACCTGTGGTGGTAACAACCTGGGGCAGACTTCGGCTAGGGTGACCTCAGGACACAATAGCTAAACCAGTAAAACTCTGAAAAAACCGGAGATTATACTGGAGCCCACACAATCAATCAGGACAGACTATCCAAGTATGCAAACAAGTAATAATTTGAAATAAAGGGTTAAATTTTTATTCAAACTTCAAATAAACCTACATTACCGAACGCTACCGAAAAAGTAGTTCCTAATACAATATTAACTCCATAGTTTCAGAAAACACAATCTAGTGTGGCACCACCTACCTTTTGTTTCCTAAATTCGTTTGTGAGATCACAGACAATCATACCAGACGAAAGCTCCGACGGGTCTTCAGAGAGCACCTCTTCACCGATTGGGGACTGAATTCGTAGATTCTAAATATGTCTTTGATATACAACAAAATATCAGATTCGCGTAAGACGAGGCACATATGAGTACCCGAAATTTATCCAATGTCATTGTAAGTGTACCGAACGAAGTAGATTCACCGATTGTTTGTGAATCTTCTGCACTGAGCAACGGTGCACATTCTTCATACGCTCCAAGAAAATCTATAGAAATTAATGTGAACAACACAACCTAGGCAATCGGCAGCATAATTGAAGAAAAACAAAGAGTTATGAACAACGCATCAATCAGAAATGATTTCAGCAAATCCGAGAACCGACTTTGTGTTAACTCCGGCACGGACGAATAATTCACTATCTTCATGATGAAGAGATACAATCACAACGATGCTTAGATATTGGCAAAACTTGGACCCCGGTCTAGATCGAACCACGACCCCTCTTTCTACACTGTTTATCCACAATAGCTGACATTTCAGTAGTATCGCCTTTTTCAGAGTCTGGAAAGGTGAAATTGAAATGTAACCTAATCAGGCATACACTTTCATAACCACAGCAGGTAAAACTTGACACGTAAAATTCATTTGTACAATAAAAAGCTCCTTTCAAACACCCATCGTTTCTTTAATCAACTTCATCTAGCTCATCAATGTAAGAATACTTACGTTCTTGATACTTGAATGGCCCATCTTCACTGATTGTGCGGGTTCCAGCATAATCTCCATTTTTCGGAGTCTTTCTGGTACGGCCATTGTGGTTCCCAGGAATCCCGAGGCTAGCCTGGGCAAAGTTTGCCCTAGGTCTTCACCGCCACAGGCACTCGCAGCTCTTGTGGATCAAAGGGAGATTTGTCACCATGCTTTGCTACCAGAACGGTAATGGGTTCTGAAATTGGTTTACTCCTAGTTAGGCTTCCTGATGGAAACGCCGGAGTTCTTCTCAGCTTGGAAGATCTTATCAGGGAATGAATCCCAATCCGACACCCAGGAACACCTCCTAGCCACGATGAGGCGGTAAACCGTTGAGAGGAAAGAAAAGTCAGTTTTTAAAACATTGTTACGCACTATGCCAGCTCATAATGAGACCAAAAGCTTTAGGATGAATTGTGTGGAGAACAACAAACGATTACCGACGGACAATCAGCATCAACAACCTCCCTGTATAAAAAAAACATTGCTGAGCGAGGTAACTTTATTCAAGCGGTGTTCTACTGGATTCGACTCGATGGAGACTCACATCGGAAGAAGGAATAACTGAAGACAATCGAATAGAATCAATCTGTCCGAAGAAGGCGCAGGGTTCGAAGCACTATTCGAATAAAGTGTTTTTTAATTACCACTGTGCTAACTTATAAATGAAACAATACTCACCGCATTTCATACTTTGCAAGTTTGTCAGTTATCTGATGGCGATCAGCCATAAAATGCCTAAGGCAAGTAAAAAAAATAAGATTGAGATTTTCCGATTCTGATCCCGACCAAACTTCTTGACCTGCGGCTGCACAATGCTCACCAATGTAAGACCCTGTGCGGCTTGTTTCCATCAAATAACTCGAAGATTTACAAAGCACAAGAGTGTAAGTGTTTACGAGGTGCTGTTCTAGCGAATGGAAATTTATGTATTAAGTTTTGTCCGCTAAGGTTACGAAAGTGTCTGACTGAATGGATTGCATACTAATTTGACCTCTCAGGCTTCGAAGAAAGCAAAGCCGCGGAAACGTTGGCTTTTGTGAATAAATACTATAGTAACAACCTCGTATCTGCTAATCAGGAAAATGGTGAATTGTGATACCAACTCTAGCACGTTTTTGGTTGCCGAGGATATAACAGTACTTAAAGAGGCGATTTATAACAGTATTCAAAGAGGAGATTTCAACACTGGCGCCAAACACGCTGAGAGAAAGACGAAATGAGGGACACACATGGTGTGGTGGTGAAGATGTTAGCCCCCGAAAAGCATAGTAACCAGGATCGATCGCCGCCGCAGATACCTGCAGTTTGGAGTTTTCCAAAACTTTTAGCATTTTTAGCAGCAGTTGTATTTCACATCATACCCTACCATGAAAAAACAACAAACAGGAAATAAAAAGTGATTACTAGCGCCAATGTTTTGTAATATGTTAACTAACATATAGAACAGCTGAAACTTCCTGTTTTACTGGATACAAGGTTAGAAACAAAACGAGAAGAATGCTACCTTTAGCATTCCCTTGACTGTTAGTCCGATTGCGACGTGCATGTCTGAAACCGCAGGTTCCAGATGCAGCAGCGACTCGAGTTAATTTCTTCTCGTCATCCATGTCAAGTTCCTTTTCGGTCTCACCAGCACTGCTTTCCTTAGCACTTGTATCTTCGGCTGCACTACATCCCCTATAAAGAACGCTACAGTTTTATTTCATTGACAAACAAGTGAATAACACTAGAACTACGCTGCTAATTCTAACCTTCGGTGAGAAACGCCGTTTTAGTCTTTTTGAATAAAAACGAAATGTAGGAAACCTAGAAAGGCTAAAGGTTTACCTATGGCTACGTCGTCTGTACTCATGATCGCTCACTTCGTCACTAGGCATTAGCTGCTCATCTCGTTCTCGTCCAGTTAACGGACCCGATTTGGCAACTACAACTAGTTTAAGAGTAGATGCTGCTCGTACACCGACAGAATACATCTCCACCTCATCGGGAAGAGACCGCCCAGCAAATACCTGAACATGGACGTACAGGCATAAAATGTGCAGAAATTAACTCCAATCTAGTTCCGCTGTTGGGTGTCATTTCCCAATACATTGTTGCTAGTTTTGATGTTGGGTGTCATTTCCAAAGGCATTCTTGCTAACCTAAACTTATTGAGCAAGATTATTAACTAATAATACAGAATTTTAGACCAATTTGCGACAAAGGAAGGTTTTTCGATAACTAATGATAGTTTCTCGACAAATAGAACAATTTAACGAAAACGCTGCTGAGATATTTTCAAAACTCTATATTTGTATACTCTATGTATAAATATTTCCAGAACGCGTTACTCCCCGGAAAGGACAATAGCGCGTCAGTTCCACACCATAGACACCTGCGGTCCAGAGCTTTGCAAATATCTTAGCAACGTTGTGGTTGTATTTCGCTTAATACCCTGCCGTGAAAGTTGTAGTAGGCAGAAAATAAAAGGTAGAACGATTTAAAATCACAGAACTTAACGTGCTTACAGAACGGACTTTTTTCTATCGTGTTGAAGATATAATTTTCGTAAAATATGCTACCAGAGAGTGTGTGTAGTGCAGTGGACGGAAGCGCCCTGCAACACACACGTGGGATCAATCCTCCCCCCACCCAAGGCCCACTAAGCCCTCCATCCTCTCTGGGGTCGGCAAATTGGTACCAAACTTGTTGGGGAGGGTAGCAGTACTGACCCTATCCACCGTTAGGTCACCATGGGTCACTGCAAAGGCCAGACATGCATGCATTCACCTCCAATGATGCTTAATGAACTCGAACGCATGGCGCATCCCTCAAAGATTAACCAACGGCGGGACCAGTATATTTTTATTCTTTCAGTATCAAGTTTTTCAAGAATAAAATTCTCAAAAAAAAGAAAAACAACATCAAATTTCCAAGTTTGCCACTCGGTGGCTGCAAAGGTAAATTTTATAACTGGAAAATATTATCATGATTTGCTAGACGAAATTCCGTTTCTTATTTGACGAACGAAATTGCGGATGAAAATGCGTTCCATGTGCTCCAAAAACCAGAATTCTGTGTTAGTAAAATGTGAGAACATATAACTCATTGGCAATCATAAACTTGTAACTTTTTGGGAAAGATCTATAGAATCTACCATTTTCCAAGCAAAGTTCATTCTGCCCTATGTTGTTTTAAACTTTCGCATTATTAAGCTTCCCATTAATAAGCATTGCTAAACTCAGGTCATTTCGTTTAGAAAATATGCAACGAAATCAATGCATGTCGTCTCGAATGTGTTAGAGATAACACGAAGCGTGAACGGATGCGCTATACAGCTTACGTCCCATGATATTAAACGAGCGTTTTTGATAGGAAACAAATAGGAATAGCTTTAAGTAAAGAAGAAATTAACCATTGAGAAAATGCCTCTACGTTACATGAATATAAAAAATAAAAAGTGAAAACAAACTCGTACCACATCACGGTAAATTCAGGCTTTTCAAATGTTTTCTACGTGTAACCCAAGCTTCCACGCACAATATTACGTCTTCTAATCAAAAAAACAAAGGATAAAGCTCTCGGCGTTGATTTACTCCTCAGGGATGCACCATGATTTCTGCGTCAATAAGCATCGCTGGAATGCACACCTAGTTTTTGCAATTACTCACGGTCGCCTACCAAGTGAACCCGTGCTGTTATCCTCCTAGACAAATCTGATACCAATCTGCTGATCCCGGAGGGATGGAAGACTTGGTGAACCTACGGCGAGGGACCGATCCTACGTGTATTATAGGGCGCCTCTGACCACCGCACTGCACTCACGTCTTCTAATACAATGCCTATTTAAAAAGAATAAAAGGATTTCAAATCCCACTATAGCCTGTCGGTTCGGCACAATTCGCTTTCGCCTCCATACACGATTCTTCAGTTCTCCAATCGTTTCAAATAATCGCACCTGCTCCGACCATCGCTCACCGGTTACCGATTCGATCCAAACATTCACAGAGGCGACGTTCATTCTATTTAATCACAGCAGTTTCAAAAGAGAAAACACTAAAGACATTTCTGCAGAAGTGAAGAAGAATATCTTGGATTGGTGATTAATAATACAGATATTGGGAATGGACAACATTTGCCATTAGCATAAGAAAACCGTTAAAACCTTTATAGAAAATAACAAAAGCTATATTTTAGAACTCTTTCAAACCTTGACTATCAGTACTTCCTTGACTCATAAATGAAGAAGTGATGTAATTCATGGCATTGTTAACGGCACAATTATCACTGGTAAATAAACATCAAAGCAACAATGAAACCTTACCAGTTACTCTAATGAAGTGATACGTTTAAAACACTACATCTAATTAGTGTAAATGGCTTACAAATCATACTTTATGATCCTGAGTAACAAACTAACGAGGTAGCGGTAGGAAAGTCACTAGGAAAACCCACAGAACAACAGGAAGCCACGAAAAGCACCCACACGTTCAAGGCAGACAACATCTTTAAATACATAACAGTTGCAGTGGATAGTGAGCACACTAGAAGATTCCAAAAAAATATAAAGGTAAAAAAAACATCTGCATAAAACACGCTAAACTTTCCACATTAACATGACTACCAACGTCAATAGAATTCATCATTTTCTTCCTCAGCTGGGAATTTCAGAACAGAAGACTGTTGACCTGGAACTGTTTTATTTAGAATTACCTCTAGAAAAAGTCAGGAATTCAATCCACGTTCAGATTCGCTTTGTACAAAACCCATCATAATAAGTAATCGTTAAAAATATGAGTGAGCTTCTAGTCATACAAAAGTACACGTAATAATTAGTGTGAGCCAATATCCACGCATGTTCTTTGTTGTCGTTTATTTCATCGTATATAGGTTTTTTGTTCCACTTTGAGTATTAAATTGATATATAATCCAACACAGATCATCGTTTTGGGCATCGCACCTGGGAACCAAATCTGTGTACTTAATACATACTTGGATACTCGGATGGGCTATCCTCACTGGTTGTGCGGAACCCAGCATAAATTTCATTTTTTCGAGGTTTTGCTGGTTTAGCTATTGTAGCTCTCTGGAGATCCGAGGTCAGCCTAGCCAAGGTTTGCCTAAGTTCATCACCACCCCAGGCAGTCGCAGTCCTGGTATATCAGAGGGAGCTTACCATTATGCGACTTGGATAAGGACGGTGGTGGATCCTGGTATTGGTTTACTCTTAGCTAGGTTTCCTGATGGAAACGCCGGACCCCTTCACAGCTTGGGAGACCTTGCCATGGAATGAATCCCCTGCTGTACATCGCAGTCCTTCACCCAAGAACAGCACCTAGCAACGGTGAGGCGGTAAACCGTTGTGAAGGTGTACTTAACAACTTATCGAAAACTGTTCTTTTGTATAAGTTAATTTCGTGGGTGTATCTGAGACATGACATGGCACTGTGACCACATCAAAAAATCTGTGCACATCACTGACAACTCGTTTGAACGATGTCTTCGAAAATTTAACCAAGAGAGACAATATCATCCCACCTTCGAGATTCAGCAGATTATACACAGAAATAGATATGGATAAACCAGCCATACAGTAGGAAGAACAGACCACATATGGACGGAAATAACTGTTCAGTGGACTGCATGAAGATGCAAGCGTTCTAGGATGACACCCTAACACGGTGGGAACTCATTTGCAACTAGAATTGGTCAGCTGTACTCGCAGCTGCAGATGTTTTACAAGGGTATGAGACTCACATTCGCTACCATACTCGAAGAAAACCACCACCATCAACGAGGATTGCGAGGAAAAGAAACAAATGGCAAATGTGCTGGGTCTGCAGAACTGATGAAGATCAACCGTTCAACTATCTAAACAATTCCATATGTGTTGTAAATACAGATCATATCATGTTGCTCTAAAATTTTGGCCGCCCTTCCATAACCGTTCCTCAACAACGCCGACATATCAAATCCAGTTCCAGATTACATTAAATAGTTGCCTTCTTTTCACGCATACTTCCACATTCTCGACGTAAAGAGTACAATCGGGATAGACATCAGAAAACCAACGAACCCATCTGCATCCATGAAGATACAACGGAAAAGTAGTCCACTCCCCAAATTCATCTACGTTTCCGTGCAAACAGCACATCATCCCTTTCGGTTTACGTTTAACGCTACAGTCACAATGGACGCCAGGGTTCGGAACTAACCTATCCGAGATCTCCACACTGGAAGAAAAGCGGAATTCATTGTTGTCTAGAGTGAATTATGACATAGTTTTGAAAAACCGCGACTAATTATCCTTTTTTTCTTGGGAAGTATAGACTAGAGAATTAACGCGCCTCATCTCGAATTCACTTGTATTCTACGGTCTGGTTATTCGCGTTCTATAGATTCATACTTCAAGCGTGAAGTTACACAAGCGAAAACAGCACTACCCAACGAACCATAAAACCCTGTAAATGCAACAAACTTTGGCGATGGTCAGTGGGTAAAAGCGAAGAAATCTCTGTAGGCGATTCTGCCATACAGGCCAGCACCAAATGCATGCAGTCAATGATGTCTTGATCTTCGACACCGCACATTAGAGGAATTCGGCCCCTAGAATCCTAAAATGGATTGTAAATTGGTTGAAAACAACATATTCGAATCACAACAGATACCCAGACTAGAAAAGTGACCAGAAAGATTCGTACCTTGATCCACATTGACTCGCTTCCGAATGGAATGAAACCAAGCAGGAACTCAATTAATCCATTACTGAGTGCAATATGCAGGACCCTAAACGATTTAGATCTTGTCATGCAACCATGATAAACTTGATCCCACTAGACACATACCCATAAAGATGATCTACAATATCTAACGTCCTAATCCTATCTTAAAATCACCTGCAGCACACCATGCGTTTTTATTCTGCTTCAACTACATGATCGAAGATCACATTTGCCACTTTGTGCGGATCCCAACACTTCTGGCATCCGACTCGTTCCCTCGCATCCATCATCCAGGAAACAATTATTGGAACTTCTTTGAGGGCAGCTTTGGCTAGTGCTTGAGGAATTTTTCGTCCTCTTCACGAATAGCGTTGAATGTTGATTCGGCCTGGAATCCTGAGCAAACCGTGTTGTAGCGTTCCCGTGTGGATTAGAGGGAACTAGCTTGTCCAAGAAAAGTTCGACACCACCTTCTCAAACACGCAGAGATGAGTGGATTGGCAGGCCAGGAGTGCGCTCGAACAAGCGCCACAGAGCGTTCAGCCCTCCAAGTAATGACAAAGACCACTACCACTGCATTACTCGCTCCTTACCATACATTGTGTAAATGTAACACGTCAAAAGCTAATCCGTCTCTGACTTGATTCCCAAAACTATTTTCAATTGTATATCATATAACGATTGATTTCCCATTTTAATTAATACTTCTAAATGTTTTCTTCTACAGTTCTTGTTAAGTGCAGCATTATAAAAAACTGACGTTTCGCCATTCCCATTGATAGCATTGCAAAGCTTTCGTTCAGAATCAAACTGTGCTAGATGACGGGTTAACACCTAAAGATACGTTTAAATCATACAATACACAGAAAAAAACCTTAGCGTTGATGAGATTTTATGGCAGAAGAGGATCTACCGAATACAACTGCGTCCAAGATGCTACCAGTACAGTGCAAATTCGTAGATTACATTTCAATAACATTTTGGCGAAAAAATGTTGATAAGTTTTTAGGGCGTCAGAATTACCTTGCCTGCTTCCTCGTTTTTACTCAAACAACTATGATGTAGCACTGTATTGTTATCCTTGTCCTTTTTAGAAACATCTGCGCCACAATCAAGTAGAAATTCTAGAATGTGCATTATTGTCCTACATCTAAATAAGACAAGCTACAAGAATCAGCAATACGCAATGCAGATTCTGCCAAGTATTAAAAAAAACTCTCGGCGTTGATCACTCCCTCAGGAATGTGCCATGAGTTCGACTTCATTAAGCAACGTTGGAGATGATTGAACGCATATCTGGTTTTTACAATGACTCGCGGTGGCCTACCGATGTACCGAGCCCGTGCTACCATCCTCCCAGACAAGTCTGGTACCAATTTGAGGACCCCAGAGGGATGAAAGGCTTGGTGAGTCACAGGCGCGTGGATCGATCCCATGTGTGTATTGCAGGATGCTTCTGACTTTTGCGCCACACGCGCCACTGATAACACCTGTAGAACATTGCTTACATCACAATGCTCATAAGTCAGTGCATCTATTAAGTTATTCTGAAACTAATGCATGATTTCAATTTGTATTTTTAGAGTGGGTTAGAGCAAACTTTATCTCAGGTCAGAGTAAACTTTATTAATCGAAATATAGAGGATTTATTCCGATTGCATAAAACTGTAGTTCTGGAAAGAATGAAGTTATCAAAGGCAGTTATGCCCTTAGCTTAGTTTCTAAAGCGTTTCCTGTGTAAACAGTTGTCAAGATGCTTGAAGTAGTAGTCGTTCGGCAACAGGTATGACAAAAATGAGGCAGTTTCGTAGCGAGGCCCGTTCAACTTTGCTGGCGACATGTGACCGCACCCCATGTACGGAATCTATTCGTTATAAGTTTCCTCGACTATAAAATATAGTTCAGATCCCGTGAGAGTTGAGATGTTTACATCGAGCTCTTCCATCAGACCTCGAACAGTTTGTGGATGCATTTGCTTCCACCGAACCTTTCAATTAATCAACATCTGTAGTAGAAGGAGTTCGCTATATTCTGCATTATCGAGATAGAATTCGCTATGATGAAATCCTTAAAAGCAACTTCGCACTGTGTATTCGTTAATACTGTCTTGGCTCCATATCTCATCAATATTTCGGCCACTTGCACTGCGTACAACCGAGTATGAACTCGTAATTCGGGTCTACGCATGGATTCGGCCGCTTCTTGAAGATTTAGTTTTCATCACTAATAGCCTTGAATATTAATCGAGAAGATTCTCATTGGGATCTTAGGAAAACTATGCTACAGCGTATGTAGGTCTTCATTGCACAGAATCATCAATGTTGGAGGATTGCAAGGGCGTTTTCCTAGACAAACCTACGACCAATTTGCGGAAACCAGAGCATGTGTGTGAGGTTTGACTGGCAGTAGACAGGGTAAAACCAACGGCTTTGATTGTTGAACGGCACTTATAGTCACTGCGCCTCCAGTATCTTGAAATTTTGCAGTAGTTGACATGTTCTCCGTAGAGTCTTTACAAATTTATTTAAACTATCTCGAATTGAACTTCGTCGTTGGGATGTTTAACGTTGGGACTAAACAACCGATGAAAACAAACATCAATATTTGCATTGAATTGACAGAAATCTGATTTCCTTTGGTATCTCAAGGCTTAAGCTTACATTATAAAACAAAGATCGACTTAGCGATTAACGAAGTAATGGCTATGCTTCATAGGAGGTTACTAATTTCTTAGATGTAAAACGGCCAAGTTCCAATGGAACAGGAGTTGAATCACTGGTTGTGAACGTTATAGCAATAAGACACTGCATATGAGCACTTGTGTCACTTGTAATCCCGATGACCATAAAGCATCTCGAGCGGATAGTTGTAAACTCTAGTCGTTCCTTTTAACCGATACTACCCAACGAACTTCCCACGCTCGAAGAACGCGAACGGTATAAGGCACTTCAGTACGAGCCCCTACTTTTTTTGATAAATGTAGCTAAGAGCAATTCTCTAGCCCACCTCACTTTGAATGGTGCAGTTACTAAACTTTTTTTTTCATAAAAACATACATAAAACAAACCAAGGACGCACGAAGAGTTCGACTCCTTGACTGAATACATGAGGGCCGTCGTACCGCAGTCATCGACTGCATCTATTTCTGATCCTTTACCTATTAGATATTCAACACAGTCGTAATCCCCACGCCACGCCGCCAAATGAAGCGCAGTTCTTCCGAGAGGATCACGGACCGAGGTAAGTTGTGGATATCTCTAAAATAGTACACTGAGACATATATCTTTCCCAAGCCTGTAGCATCGATTTGGTGTTTAAACCTTGGTAACAATTACAGATAATTGTAATGATTGGAACAATTTTTCCACTACTGCATGAGCTTTCTTCAATTACTCGGCCCAAATTCGAAAAAAAAAAGACATAAACACTAAAGGTCCATGGATTGAAATAATGGTGATATTCGAATAACGAAACGACTACCTATTCATGCGGTCAAAGCACGTAGGATCATCGCGAGGGGATAAAGTGGTACAAAAGTATACAATTTTAAGGAAGAAAAATTCCTTAAAACACACATTCACTTTGAACTGATGCAGCATCATCAGGACGCCACTTAACTCTTTGCTTACGTCATGAGGGCTGTAGTGTTTTTAGACACCTCCGACCACCGTGCTACACGTACCACTAGCAGGAATACTGTTGACGTGTAGGTCTAGGTCCTTTAGATTATCGGTGGCTTGATAAAGGCTTGGACGCAGCCCATGTTGCCCTCCCTTTTCCACACAACTTCCTTTTCGTGGCAAATTTATGCGCGGTCCTGTCCTGATCCCACTTGATGATCAGGAAGCGTCGTTTGTGCTTCGCTAGCAAATCGCAACCGAAAGAATGATGACCTCGACAACGAAACGAATATTTGACAAGAATATGCCATCTATACACATGCTCTTCTTGCATTCATCGAGTGACTTCACTATTCTGTTCAACGCTGCAGTAAACAACTTTGGCCGAACGATGTCGCCTTGACGAACCATTTTTCCTACAGAAATGGTAAGGAGTCGAAGGAACAACTGTATTTTCAGGGTGCAGTTAACATAATAGTCAGCAAGAGTTCTTGTGTAGAACGTGCCCACTTTTTGAGAGATGAGCGCTGATGGGACTGCATACGTCCAGAGCTCCAGAATTTTATGCTGTCAAAACAAACGAACTTGCTTCTCCCAGTGGAAAAAATGTGCAGATTCTAACTGTTCTTATCTCGATTAACTAAATTTATTCCGAGTTGAGATATTCGTCTTCACAGATACAGGTTGAAATCGTGCACTGATTTCCGAATCTAGGTAAATACAACGCTCGGACGGCAAATCTACATTTGTGAAACCTTCATTTACCTATTTTGCTCGATGGGGGAGTCCACTGCTGCGTTTGGTTCAACGAATAACATGGAGTACAACATATTTTTGGTATATGAAGTACCCCTGGCTCGACAGTGCTGCCGGTTTATGCCTAGATGAGCTGATGGTTGGAAAGGTCGAAAGACTCGGCGTAATGAGTCTGTAAGGTGAAGCGCACGCCGAACGTCATACACCATACGACACATTTCTCTCACAATAACGATGGCTTGAAGACATTGAGAGGTATATATGTGTTTTCCTGATGAACCTACTATTATTTCACCGACATTCACAAGTGAATCTGCTGACTAAAGCCAGAGTATATGAGTTCATACAACGATCAGTGTGTAATACGCGAGCCCCGGAAAGGGTAACTGCTGTTCGATCTGGCTCAGTGACCAAGTTTTGCGAATAATTCAATTGTGGTTGTCTTTTACAACATCCCCTGCCGTGAAAAATTATAGTGGGCAGCAAATAAAAGGTTAACATTGAGTTCATACATTTACACATATACGAGAACACAAGATCGAGAACTCTCAGAACTAAGCCGAATCGTAGTTCCCTCATGGAAAAGTAAAAAATTATTACCTCTAAAAGATATGTAACACATGAAAGGTTTCCAAAATACGCTGCAAAAAGCAACCCAGCAAAGCCGCAAAGTTCAGCATCGTCGATTCGTTTACCAGGAGCTGTCGATGCTGCAAAAATATGTAGATTGCGCAACCGGTAATCCTACGCATCATAGCAACATGAAACTTAAAGTAAAGCACGTTAGAAGCACAAGTCATGCAATGGATTGGCAAAAAAAAACAAGCGAAAAAAGGCATTGCTGAGTTTACAAATAAAGGGCTTTGCCTCCAGTGAACCACATTTCACTGAAGATCTATATCTTTGTGGAAAATACTTGATATTCGCTGAAAAAAGCAGTTTTCGAAAAAACAAAGAAAAAAGAGAAGAAAAGGAGAAAAAGAAAAACGTATGCAATAATCTTATACAGCACACCCACATAAATCTTTAGATTTCGTATCTGCTGATGTATTATTAAACGACAATGTCATGTTTCCACTGCCAAATGCTGAATCAGGACTTAACTGTCGTGGGTTTGGCAGCAATTGTTTCAAAACGGAGAGCTAGAAGCAATATATACAGTTTTACAGTTCTTGAAAATAACGCGGTAATTTGAAACAAGGTATAAATATACATATATATATATATAATATATACATATAACACAGGGAAGTGGGATGCACCGCAGTGGCTAGATATGTAGTCCATTACGAAGTAAGGTACTGGCTCAACCCGCTTTAACGCTCACCTCCAATCCAGGTAAGAACGCTTTAATTGGGTTATCTCCAAGATTTCAAGGAGAATCGACTCGGCCAGTATTCTACGAAATTCGTAAAAAACACCAAATCCTCAAGCAACAGCAGAATTAACATGCGAAATGTTCGAAGACCATTATGGACGATGAATCCGAAAACGAATCGAAGGCAACAAATGATGGTGGGATTTGGTATATACGTTCATTTGAAAAACCAGTACCGCCATCAGTGACATAATAAAAAAAGTTACTGATGATACAATCATGTACATGGGGCTCGTGTAGCACAGTTGTAAGTGTCCTACGATATTCATGGTCTCGCCCCCACGCCCATGGCTCATCAAGTGTTCCATCCTACGGTGTCGATAAACTTGCACTAGACTTGTATGGGCGTATAGCAGCGCTGGCTCGACACATCGGTAGGCCACAGTGAGTCATTGTATAGGCCTGATATGCATTCAGTTACCCCTAACGATGCTTGATGAAGTCCAATGCATTGTGCATCCTTAGGGTATTGACCAACCCCGGCAGCTTTACCCCTTGTCTTTTTTTATAATCATGAATATTATACATTACCACAACACAAAATAAATGACAAATAAAATACACAATTACCGTTACAATTAACTTGATTTATGTTATTGCAATTAATGCGAGAGATCTTGAAATGGTTATATAGCAGTTGTATTTTTTCAAGTAAGAAATCCCAAAATAGTTAACAATAGTACTCCCCTACTTTCCTCAATGCAAAAGAAAACGTGGCTAAACACGTTAAACACAAACCAAGAGCAACTTTGAGCTTGTTCTTAGATGATCGCAGATTGATGTGGCTGCTAAATTGGACTGACATACCAAATACATACACGTAACCATTCAAGGTTTATCTTATTACACCATATCTGAGCTGTCCTTAGGAATTAGCAGTTGAGACAAGAATTCTTTATTTTTTGAGAAAAATTTCTTTCACCTTGAAAGAAGGATTTCTAGAAATTGAACTCCTTTTTGGGTCCTATGTAGCGCAGTGGTCGAAGACGGCCTGCTATACACATGAGATCGATCCCACGCCCCAGGCCCACCAAGCCCTCCATCACTCCGCGGTCGGCAAATTGGTACCAAACTTGTCTGCCTGTCTGCCCAGACAATTTTCATTTGCAAAAAATCCACACTATTACCGGAAATTTCTACTGGTAAGTTGATGATAGAAGTTAGGATTAGGCATGACGTAATTGAACTGGCTAACATAGACTTCCTTACCTATGTCCCAATATCTACACGTGATAAAAACGTATCATAGACGATCACCAACACAAGACTAGCCTTAGTAGAACATCTAAAACTTCACTACGAGACCCAAACAACACAATAGAACGAACAAGATGTGCAAGCTTTCCGAGTCTATCATGAAAACTAAAGTCCTTTCTTGTAATGAATTCAATAAACCTTTCACTCGACAACGGACATGATAACTACTTCGTGGATACTACTTTAAATGAACTGAGCATTAAAGTTTTCGGCGTTCGTCAATCCTTGAGTTGAGGGATGCGCCGTACACTCTTCATTAAGTATCGCTGGAGGTGATTGAACGCATATATGGCCATTACAATGACTCGCGATGGCCTATTGACGTATCGAGCCAGTGCTGCTACCATCCCAGACAAGTCTGGTACCAATTTGTCGACCCCAGAGGGATGGAAGGCTTGTTGGACGTTGGGCACGGGTATCAATTCCACGCCTCCAACCACTGCCCTCATGCGGCTTTATCAATAGAAAACTTTACGAAGAGATCTACGTATTTCTTTAGTAATAATGTATTCTTTTTAGGAAGATAACTAACATCGACGATAAATATGGAGGTTCACACATCACTTTCACGCTCGTAATGAAGACGCCTGAAGTTTTGAAAGCAGCCTATAAAAACCTGTGCCTGGAAAATGTAACGCGGATATTCCAGAGTACAGCTGCATTGATGTTAGTGCCAACTTGTGCCTGCACTTGAAAACTTATGCACAGAAGGGACAAAGAAGACTTTAATAGATTCACAACAGAACGAACATTGTCTTAATTGTTGATAACCTTAACTTGATAACTACAGAACTTGAGCAATTTAAATTTGACAGACTAGGTTTCCAGAACTTTAAAAACCATTCAAAACCTGGAAAATTTCAGTGCAAGCGAGACAACTGTAAATATTTGTGATTCATTGAGGGACATCGTCATATCCAATTGGACTCCATACGAATGCTTACGACTATTGCAGCAACATCTACCTTCAGTCGGTATTCATAAATCGTCGTGAGATGGCGATATCATTTCTGTATGGTCTTTCCCGTTCGTCTCTCCGTGATATGCAATGCTCTTGCAGCACTGATTCAATGAAGTTAATCGCCACATACTAGCTGTACGTTGTTATCCTCCTTATTTTATTACTGCTGTAGCATTTATATACAGATCGAATTACTAAAATTTGAAGTTCACTTCAGGGCAATCACAAGAGAAACAGCGTGTCAAACCGTGAGGAGACAAGAATTCTATATTGAAAGAACTAACAAAGAACTATTGCATCGGCCTATTTCTCATTCCACTGAACCAATTAATAGAATTGCAGCATTATTTGACGAGCATTCTCCATTGAACACTCCAATAAATAGAGTAGAAATGCTCACACCCTTAGGTACCCACTTTCTTAAAGTGCTTAGACAAGAACTAAAAGAATGGAGACTTTGTGTTGACTATTACAAAAAATTATAGCAAACAAGTAAGAAGTACTGGGTGCGTGCGCAGCAGTGGTTGGAGGCGCCGCTGCGACACAAACGTGGAATCGATCCCCGCCCCCATGACCAAGTCTTCCATTCCCTCCCTCCTCCACTCCCTTCCGGGGTCGGCAAATTGGTCCCAGACTTGTCTGTGAGGATAGCAGCACTGGCTCGATACATGGATAAGGCACCGCGAGTCATTGTAAAAGCAAGATATGCACTAAGTCACCTCCAACGATGCTTGATGAAGTCGAATGCATGGTGCATCCCTCAGGGATTGATCAACGTCGAGAGCTTTTATTTTTTCCAAGTAAGAAATCGCGACTTGATGTCATATGTCATAAACGTATACAAGCTCAACAGGTTAGCATTAAAAGCAAGTATTGCAGAGATTATCCCAGCCTGGACTGTTTCAATAATGTCCAGAAAAGTACTAATTATATAAGAAAAGCACAGATTGTAGGTGAAGTGTAATTTTTAAAAAATGTACATGAAAACTGTGAAGTTGCGAACTGACGTTCTTCCTTTCGAGAACATCAGCAGAAAAATTTGAAAAATAATTGAGAACACCAGATGTTTTCAAAGACATTAAAAATATGGCAACTATTGTCAGAATAGTTACTATTCTTTCATCATACCGTAAGTCTGTGGTAACCATATTCGTGGCCCCTCACATCACTTTGCGATCTTGCAGCATGTAAACGTTTTCACTTCGTTGAGAGAAACTTTGGTTGTCGTAAAAACCCTTCGTGATCCACATTCTTTATACAACCGGAACCTTTTGTGCGTTGCATCTGTTCTAAGCCATCACGGGTACGGTAACACAAAGGCGCACGAAGCTGTCCGGCAAATCGTCAGTCATCTGATCACGAGGGAGCTGAAGACGGAAGTTGATTGGTGCTTTCGTTAAAGGTTCTGGACCTGTACCAAAGCACACCCTCCTCCAGAAAATATTTAAATAGCGCCGAGCGTCAATACCGTAATTGCCCCTGTTCATCATGTGTATGCGCCTTGTAGTTAATCCAAGGTGCTCTCTCTTGTTGTATGTGGTCACTGTTGTATATTAACCTTGCTGTCATGTAAATCTGAACACACTAACTCTGTTGTAAGTTCACATTAACCTCATCGCACTATACTCATACGCTTACATGCATTCTTTAATACGTTAACCTAATCGGATTGTACCTACAAGTTAACACATAACCTCATCGCAATATTACAACAAGCTTACATGACGCTCTTAACGTGTTTACCCCATTAGAACCACATCACAAGCCTACATAAAGTGTGTAACTCCTTAGTATTGTTGTTTGTGAGTCAGGTATTGCGGCCTTATATAAATCCCTTAATGCGCCTGGATCTTGTGGCACTCTTGAGGTATTCTAAATGCACATGGCACTGTTTTATTGTCCTACAGCAAAGATACTAACCCGCATTACACTTATTGAACATGATACAATATTGCAGTCTGTATTGTACCAATGTTTATGTTTCGTTATTCTTGAATTATTATTGTTATAAACGGCTTAATTACCCAAGTTTGAGACATTGCTCTGCGACAAGCACGAAAAGTCCCGCGTGGCAGCTTCTACGAAGTCGAGCATCCTACTCAAAGCTAGTATCATAAGGTGCCGAAAACTGACTCGAAGACCTAATTTCCACTAACGACTGCTTGGTGACTAAATGCGTATCTTGCCCATGTAGTGAATCGTCGTGGCCTTCTGATCCATCGAGTTAGTGCTACTATCCTCGAAACAATGTTTGGTACCAATTTGCCCACCCCGGGTCGATGGAAGGATTGGTGAAGCTAGGCGAGGGATCGAACCCATGTGTAATCATAGCGCCTCTAACCATTCCGCTACACGCACCTCCAGGAAAAAACATTCTAGATGGATAAATTTCCAGTTGGTACGTGCTGTCACTGGTATCTTCACCTTATGATCGAATCAATCCGAAAGAACGCAGAAATTCTTCTAATCTCAACAAATTAAGGAGACAACCATGTGGGAAGTTATTTAGGAGAAAACAAGAGTGCACCACTATCTCCAGTGTGGTTATTCATCCAACTTCTAAACGGAAAAGCTGTTTATCACCTTGCAGTCAATGGATCGGCAACCATCTTATTAACGATAGATAATAGTGGAAAAGTTAGGAAATTTAATAACTTATAGGAGAGACCTTGTTCTGTCGCTCTAAGAATGTAGGAAAAGCAAACAATAAAGTGTTCCACGTTGGTTGATTCCCGAGGGATTCGCCATGTAAACAATTTCACTAGGCATCACACGAATGAGCGAATGCAAACCTACCCACCCAGATGACTTAGACATTTAAGTTTTTTTCTTTAAACAGAAGCCTTCTCCACGGCTCGTCTAAATATCCACTGCGCCGATCCCAGAACTTCTTTATTTAATTCGTTTTCTTGCACCCATCCTAAATAAGGTCCTCGAACTTTTTGCGATGGGTTCGACTGCTCCTTGAGGATAGTCGTCTTCCTTACAGAATTCGTTAAATGCTGGTCGACTCAATTCTCCCATTAGTTTTTGGATAACCAAGCTAAGGTGTTCACACTATAGAGAGTCAACTGTTTCAAGAGAAATCTGATAGTAACTTCTCTACACCGTGCGGATGAGAGGTTGGTAAGTCAACCACATGTTTGAACCAGCACCGAGCATGTAATGAACGGCATCACTACTATTGCGATAAGCGCCCACTTATCAGTGGAGGGCTCTCTACCTATGATTGTTACAGACTTATAAAAATGGAGAACACTGAACTAGAACTCAAAATGAGCCTTAAACCTAAAAAATGAAAATTCTAGATTGATGGTCAAAGGACTATATAACGATGACTTCACTCCTTCTCTTCATTGGTATCAATTACTTCACATAAGTGCTACCAAAGTTTCATACTTTTCACTCACCTGGTTGTATGCCGCCGCCCAGTCTACAGGGGTAAAACCTCGATTGTCCTTCACAAGAGGATTCGCCCCGAACTCCAAAAGGGTGGCCACTGTATCCTGTTCGCCAATTGCAGCTGCAACGTGAAGAGGTGTCACTCCATTAATGTCTCTGGAACTACACAATTATGAAGGGAGATGGAATGAGTGCGAAACTCATATTTTTATATCTATATCAAATGATACATCAGGAAAAATCCATAGCCACATGATTACCCTACAGCAGAGAAATTTTAAATGTTTTAAGCTATTAAATGTGAAGCATCAAAAAAAACCACATGCTACTTGAGAAACAGGTATATCAAAGAAATGTACACTTAACTTTGTTTAATCCACTCACGACCATGTTAGTTGTTCAACAACTGACGATTTCTAGAATATCTCACGACCTCCAGATTAGCCGAGGAGCCGAGAACTTACACATAGGAGAGAAGTTACTTTACCACTTCAGGTATGTATATATATATATATATATATATAATATATATACATATATATATGTATACATATATGAATATATACATATATATTTATGTGCATATGTGTACATATAGGACTCGGGTAGTGCAGCAGTAGAGGCGCCCTGCAATACAAATGGGATCGATCTCAGCGCCACTGCCCCACCAAGCCTTCCATCCCTGCGAGGTCGGCAAATCGGTACCAGAACTGTCTGGGAGGATTGCAGCACTGGCTCGATACATCGATAAGCCACCCTGAGTCATTGTAAAGGCCAAATATACATTCAATCACCTCCAAACGATGCTTAGTGAAGTGGAATGCATAGCGCATCTCTCAAAGATTGATTATCGTTGAGAGCTTTACGTGTGAGAAATAGCTCAGAAAAGCTTTGAAACTGCGTGCCAACAAATGAACGCCTAACGGGATTGGAAATCAGTAGAAATCTGAACAAGTGGCAAAAAACAACTAACCGTGTATTAGGATTGCACTTTTCCAAAACCTTTAAAAGTACTTTTCGGTTACGCAAGTAGGCAGCACGGTGTAGATAACCGCGACCCATACTGTCACGTTGTTCTAGGTTGCTCCTTAGGATAAGTGGCCAGCATGGCCCAGATTTTGCAGTCAGTGATAACATACCGCACGTCCTAGAAAAAAAGTTAGAAGGTAGAAGAAGGATATATAGAAATCTAAATGAAACTTAGTACTCGCTAAAATTAACACTTACTGTAACTGCAAGGTAAGTTAATCGATATCCCGTTTTACTCGGAAATCAAACATGAACCTTTTAAAACACTAAAAAACACTTACTATTTTAGGAACTGATAGTACACCTTGGCGAATGGACACTCACCTTCCTCTTGAGTCTTTCCGATTCACACTGATTCCAGGAAATCTCTCTAAGACCCATTCAAGACAATTGTTTCTACCATTTGCAGCTGCAAAGTGAAGTGGCGTAAAGTCTGAAACTTGTGGGAAATCACTAGTGATTGAAAAACAATTAACCAAGCGTTCTGAAAAGCCATATAAAGGAAAGTCAAACGGATATTTACCATCTCTATCACGCCAACTCAGGCAGACTTCAGCACTCGACTGGCTCAACAGAACAGTCATCGGTTCGATGTAACCTATAAAAGCATAGATACTGAAAGTTAAAGAAAGACAAAAAATAAGGAAGCCTAAATCAGCCACACTTTTTTAAATCTCGGTTTTTTTTTTCGAAAAAAAAAGCCATTTAATGCACACAGCACTTACCGTATTTCATAGCATAGTGTAGAGGTATGCGATTTTTCACATCCGTACAAGTGAATAACGGCCTATCCAGAGCTCCATTCTTCTTCGTCGCCGTCTCAACCCTTTTCTGAAATTAAGAATTTACAAGGAAGGCATGAAACACCTCTAATGATAACAGTATTCACTGATAGAGAAAAACCACTGAATTTTAGCTCAAGGGTCGAAATGATGTCGCACAACAATTCATATCAACTCAGTTACTAACCTTAATTTCTTTCGCAAGACTGACAAGAGGCTTGACCATATTGCGCATTGCAGCTAAATGAACGGGTGTTATGCCTTGGTGAACACCAGACGTCGGGATTTCCACGAGATCTTCCATATGTACAAATAACTAAAAAGCGAGTTAGAAACTTGAAAAAAAAGCACTCTTCTCACTACTCTCATTTCAGAACAGCAACTTCGATACCAAAATAGTGGTAATAATAAAGGAAAAACGCCAACTGAAAGAGAAGTCGTATGGAATAATATGGAAGCGCAAACCATGAGGTAATTCATCCCTTATTTTTAAAAATTACCTACATACACATACATATGTATACACATACGTGATATATATATATATATATATATATGTATGACCATACACGTATACATGTGAAGAGTAAAGAGTGCAGGAACGAGTAACCGTCTCATCATGGCTGGGAGGTATTGCTGAGCGACAGGCCACGATGTACACCGAGGCGATTCATCACCCTGCACGGCCGTCCAAGCTGAGAAAGAGTACGGCGTTTCCATAAGGAAGCCCAGCTAAGAGTAAACCAATACCAGGATCCACCACCGTTCTATTATCAAACAAGTCGAGTGGTGGGATATTTCATCCTGATCCACAAGAGCTGCAACTACCCGTGGTAGTGAAAACCGGGGACAGAGTTTAGCCAGGCTGACCTCAGGATTCCAGAGAACCACAATGGCTAAGCCAACAAGACTCCGAAAAAAGGGTAATTTTACTGGAGCCCACACAACCAGTGAGGACAGGCCATTAAAATATCCAAGTAAGCACATATATATGAGTAAACATTGTAGGAAAACGAAATGAAAGCTTACAAATGAGCACAAATACTCGTCACCGCTGTAAGCAGCATAATGTAACGGATAGAAACCATTCCGATCTTGGCGATACACAGATTTTTCGTCGGCGAAACACAACTGCTGAAAGTTTCGTTTCATCAAGTTTGAAGCACTATAGAAACTATTATTATCAAATGCGTTTCAAGGAGATCACTTCAGTTTGACTCTACTGGTTTCAACCAATAATTCGCAGTAATTCATTACGATAACCTAACATTGGTTTTCCCCATCTCTAAACTTTTCCCGTAGACATTATTATAAAAATTATGAATGTAAAGAAACTGAAATGAAAACCTTAACAACAGAGCTAGAACCAGAAAGAGCAGCAAGATGAAGCACATTTCGGCCGCGCAAATCTGGTTTATCCACTTTCGCTCCGGATTTCAAAAGAAGTGCTACCTAAAATAGCTTCATACTCTTCAAACACCCAGTTTTAAGGAAATCGGACAAATTCCAAATACCGGCATTGATAAAACTTTCTGGTTACAGTCGTGTACATCACCCTCACATCAGCTATAAACAAGGGTGCTTTGTCAGAACATCTATAAACCTTGGAATAATAGTCAATAAATCTATACATATATATATACATATATATATATATATATATATGTATGCCCTTACAAACTGCCTTTATTTAGCTGACACGAGGTTGGTAGAGTTCTTCTTATTGTTGTTGTTACCATTGTTCAAGGGTTGACGTTCAACAAATAAAAATATCACATATTCACCATATTATGAAGTCCCTTTGACGCGGCCAAGTGCAACGGAGTGAGCCCACATTTATCGGCAACATTCACTGCTGCTTTGCTTTCAATTAGACACTCCAAGGTATATGCCCTAAAACAGTAATTTCGAAGTTTTTATGGCTTATTACCTTAGCGATCTTATTACCTCATCGATAACTACAAAACAGGAAAAAAAACAACACAAAACTTGTCTACGCACAAAATAGAAACACTCAAAAAACGTTTTCTGATCACCAACTTTATTTTCGAATGTTCTAAAGAACTAAGGATAGCACACACCCACTATCCTCAGTGCTATTTGCAGCTAGATGAAGTGGAGTTCTTAAACACACATCTTTCGCTTCAGTATCAGCACCCGCTTCTATTAGAGTTTGCGAAACCGGACGATGTGAGCAGAAGGCAGCCAGATGAAGCGGTGTCAAGTCTCCTTTCATCCTCCTGAAAGCATAATTAATTTACACAGACACCATGTACTTCTTAGTATAAAATAACTAGCATACTTCTCTTGAAAAGTCGCTAGGCTTTTCGTTTAAGGGACTGTTTTTCTATTTCTGAGCCTTTCTGTAAACCAAATTGAACATCGGCTTTTGTTATTAACGACACTATTGGAAAACGATGTATTCGGAATCAAATTAGCACAAGCACTAGATTTCTCAACTGAATGGCGAACCTTTTTCCCCAGAAATATGACTCAACACCAACCTAAATAGCCGATGATTAAAGAAGCAAGATAAGGGTGAGGTAGGATCCTCCATCCGAAGTACAGCAGTTTTTCAAGGGCAGCCTAACATTTGATGGATTGTCATACATTCCTATATAATTGTCTCCCAGCACTCAGAACCATTTATGTAAAAGAAGTCTTCAGCCCATAAAGCTAAATACAGAATAAGTTCATACAGTTCTAGTTACTCTTCAGTCCACACAGTTGATAATACCATACTTCCAGTGAGACGGCGGGTAGCACAATGGTATGTGCCTATCTTCACGAATAGGAAGCAGGATCGCTCCCGCACCGAACTTACCGAGTCTCCTTCCTGGGGAAATCGTAACAGACCTGTCTGTGAACAGTTCACTCTCTGCAAATCAGGTGGGAATGCTCTAGCCCGACCATTATAGGAATCCAGAAAGAATAGACAAGCAGCAGGTGGGATCTGTACAGATGCGAAAACCGATCGTGCAAAAAAAAAATGTAAAATTCAATAAGGTAGTGCAGCCGGAGGAAGAACTCTCCAGTACAACAAACATGGACCATCATAATTCGATGTTTTTCTTTAATAAGCACACACGAGGATGTTATTATAGAATTTATTAGGATACAATAGCTGACGTTTCGGCGATTTTGCCTTCTTCAGAGCCTGGAAGGGTCAAATTGAGATGCGGTCTACTCAGCCAAACACTTTTATAACCCTAGTAGATAAAACTTAAATAGATTTGCATTCGCATAAGAAACAGCTTCATCACCTACTGTTTATTTGTTGTATCTAACTTAGTTGATGGATAGCCGCCGCACAGAGTAATACATGGACGATAACTGCGCCTGGGTCAGGTCATTGGATTAGTCTGAGGTATAGCGCCAAGTCACGCGTGATGACAAAACACTCCTCCTTGCGGTTCATTTTTGAATTTTTGGAATTGATCCAAAACGCTTCAAGAGTTTTACGCTCTGATGTTTTCGATTCCTGCGCGAGGATAGTGACTCCCACTTCGAAATCTTCTCCGTTGTGTTCCTGCATCCTATGCGCTCTTAGTGGAGGGTTTGGTTCTAATTTATATTTACCGAGTAGGTGTTCTTTTATGCGGACGCAGAGCGGTCTACCCGTTTCGCCAACGCATTCGTCCCCGCACGCTTTATAAGAGACCAGACAGACTGCACTCGAACTCATGCAATCACCGTCTCTACCGTTAGGGCAAATTATATAGTTTTTCGTTATGCATAGACGGTCATATAGGCGGTTGCGAACTAGATGGCGTCTTACAGTGTCCGATGGTATTTCTATCTCTTACGGGATTCTTTAGACCGGCCCTTATTAAGCAACGTTTTATGGCTGCACTTATTTCGTTCGAAATAAAGGGCAAGAAGAATGGAGCCTTGTTTTCGCTAGAATTATCGCTCTGGGGCGTGGTTTTTCCTCTATGCCTATGCCGAGAATCTACAGTTTCGTAACCATTTGAAATGGCTATTTGGCGCGCCAATTTCCAGGATTCTTCCCTATTCCCTCTACCTGTGCACACGCTGGCGGCACTTCGAAACATATTTGTTATAAGCGCTCTTTTAGTGTGTGAGGGACGAGAGCAGAGGTAATGAACCAGTATATTCTAACTGCTTGGCTTTGGATACCATTTTGTGTTGTAGCCGTTTTCGGATAGGTTGATTTGAACGTTTAGAAATAGAAGCCAGTTTTCTTTCGGTTTCTCACGGGTGAATATTATGTACTCTGACTGTTCGCTCAATAACTCAAAGAATTTTCCATCTCCTCTTGTGTGGAGCAGATGACAAAACAAACATCTATATACCTACAGTAGAGTAATGGCCTGAGATCGATTACTGGTGCTTCCACTTTAGACGTAAAGGCAACGGCAAGGGTTGGTGCCAGTCGCTGTCCCATTGCCAACGCTCTAATTTGCGCGTAATATTTCTCGGACCATCTGAAGGTCGAGCAGTTTAAATTGACCTTTAAGAGGACTATAAGCTGCTGAATCGAAAAGCTATACATGTTAATTGCTCCTTTGTGTTGGTCAAGAAGCACGCGGATGGCTTGCATTGCGGAGTCGTTCGACGCGTTAGTGTAAAGGGCGGTAACGTCGAACGACTCCATAATCAATTTGACCTTTCCAGGCTCTGAAGAAGGCGAAATCGCCGAAACGTCAGCTATTGTATCCTAATAAATTCTATAATAACAAGCTTGTGTCTGCTTTTTGAAGAAAAACATCGAATTATCGATCAATGCCGAGGTTAACATAAAGTCGTTCCTGGGAATTGACCATCATAATTTTGCTAAGCTCAACAAGCTCAAGCAAGCTCAACAATGTAAACACATATTGACCATCACATCCAAAAACAACCTTTCTAATAAAATAAAGAAATACTGCTATGTGAAGAAGGTAGTAAACCGATATATCGAATGGTAAGGTAACAGCAGCCATAACTCACGTATAAGTCCTACCTTGCGATATTACTATTCGAAATCTATTGAAAGGTTAGCCGGTAGTCATGCAAATCGAATATGTCTTCATCGTAAATCAACATGATGAACAGTTTAGCTCCGAAGTTCATCAAGAGAAAGCACTTAGCATGGGAGACTTGGCAAACATTTGACGAACTAGTGCTGAAGAGAAACAACACACGGTTTTCACGTCTAGCTCTTTGACTGCACCGCTTTCCTTCGTAAGTCGACATAGGAAATTCAAATGCGCACGTAACTAGGATACAAACACACTTTAAGTTTTCTAATACTTGTACAAAAAAAATCTAAACTATCCAGTTTGAGGGGTCATAGTTGGCAGACTCTGCCAATTCAAAGAGAGCGGATATTATGAGCAAAGCGACCTTAGACTATACTAGTGATCGCCTAAATCATGAGAAAAGGGATAACTACTAATTCTGGCGAAGGTAAGTGCGCATGTAGAGCAGTGTTTAGGTGTGCGCTGCAATACATATGTGGTCGTTAGTCCGACCCTGCACCCTGAGCTCAGAAAGTCTTTCATCCCATCGTGGTTGGCAAATTGGTACCATACTTGTCTGTGAAGATAGCAGAGATGATTTGATACATCGGTAAGTAACCGCAACATAATTGATTAGCCAAATATGCATTCAGTAATCTTGCACGATGCTTAATGAAATAGAATGCATACGGCTGAAAACTTCAGCACTATTATACAGCTACCAATTTCTTAGCCAAAATTGGTCAAGAAAAATTGATGCCAAACAACAGATAGTAGATCCTTTTAACTTGGACTTAATGAGTAACCAAAGCCATGCAAACCAATTTATTGAGATATGATTCTGCCATAAGGCATCCGTGTAGTAATCAATGTATAGAGGTGTTTTTTTAGCCTCTGATATTTGGGATATCATTCAAATCATCATGGAAATTATAAGAATGACTTTCACAAATATGTGAATGTAAACTATACTAAACGGCAAAACTCTACGAATTGAAACTTACGCATTCACGTCAGCGCCCCTCTGAATAAGGTGCTTAACCACAAGCTGGTGTCCAGCAAGAGCCGCACAATGCAATGGAGTCGCATCATTGAGTGATCGTGGATCAATCATGGCTCCGCCTAAAAAATTTCTTGCATATATTCGGCTTTTATCATCATCGGAACCGTTGTATATCCCAGTAGATGTTTTCCACAAAGAAGGACGTACTGAAATCTCAGATGATCATAGCCACTTTTCTCAATTTCCACGACGTCTCAAACCTAACTGCAAAATGTTGAGTGGCACTCTTTAGGTAAGAATTACCAACAGTATCCAAAAATGGATGCGAGTGGCGCAGTGGTCAGAGGCGTCCTGCAATACATGTGGGATCGATTTCCGCACCCCTAACCCACCAAGCCTTCCATGCGTCCGGGCTCGGCAAGTTGGTACCAGGCTTGTCTGGGAGGACATCAGCACTGGCTCGATACATCGGCAAGCAACCGCGAGTCATTGTAAAGGCCAGAAATGCATTCAATCACCTCCAAACGATGCTTAATGAAGTCGAATGCATGGCGAATCCCTCCAGGATTGATCAAAACTGAGAGCTTTACCGTTTTATCCTTTAATGAGTGTATACAAGGCCCCCGCATCCCTAACGGATTGGTCAACGCCGAGAGCTTTATCCTTTATCCTGTTATCCTTACCTAAATGATGTTTTGAAAACCATCAGAATGAGACTTTATGTAATGTGTGAAAAATAATACTTACTGATGACTCTACTGCAACTGATAATTCAATGTTTTTCATCAATAAGCAGACACGAGGTTGTTAATATAGAATTTATTAGAACACAATTGCTGACGTTTCGG